CCCCAAACACCAAAGCCCCAAAACCCCAAGCCCTAAACCCCTTAAGCCCCAAACCCCCAAACACCAAAGCCCCAAAACCCTAAGCCCTAAACCCCAAATCCCAAAGCCCAAAGCCCCAAAAACCCTAAGCCCCAAAGCCCAAAACCCTAAGCCCTAAACCCTTAAAGCCCACCCCCATAAAGCTCACAACCCAAAAACCCTATAAACCCGGGGAGCTTCAGCAAATAGATCTAAACCGCGAGCTTTAAAGCCCAAAACCCTCAACCCCTTAAACGGTTCAGGGTTCCAGGTTTAGGGTTTAGGTTTTAGAGTTTAGGGTTTGGAGGGGTTGGGTTTAGGGTTTACCCTATACCCTTCAACTTCGAACACTCAAACCCTAAACCCCTGCCGGCCAAAGCCCTGAACCCCTTTTGAAGCCGGAGCCTCTCTAGATTCTTTAGAGGACGCGTAAGAATCCCTTAGCTCTAAACCCTTAAATTTTAAATAGAACTGAAACATTCCGAGTTTCGCAGCTTGGCAGCCCGGCATGGGTCAAGGAAATTCTGGATCGCCACCACGGCAGGGTGGCACTCGGCTGGGTGTTCGCTGCCACCCTGGGCTGGGAGGTGCCGGCTCAGCTGGCAAGCCCGAGTGCCAGGACCTGCGTCCACATCATCAGCCGACAGCACGTGTGACTGGCTGCCTGTGCCCTTGCCTGACCCCGAGGGGGGCCTTGGGCCCGAGGTGCCGCTTGCAAGGACCCCTAAACCCTAAGCCCCCAAACCCTAAGCCCTAAACCCCAAGCCCGAAGCCCAAAGCCTCAAACCCTCAGCCCGAAACCCGAAAAGCCCTCAACCCTAAGCCCTAAACCTTAAGCCCTAAGCCCCCTAAGCCCTAAACCCTATAAGCCCTAAACCTGAAAAGCCCTAAACCCAAAGCCTGAACCCTAAGCCTTAGGCCCTAAGCCCTCAGCCCTAAGCCTCCGTTTTTGAAGGCCCCGATGAACGAACCAGAGACTCCAATATCCCTTAATTAAGGAATATACTTTAAATCATATTAGGGTTTAGGGTTTAGGGTTTAGGGTTTAGGGTTTAGGGGTTTAGGGTTTAGGGTTTATTAGGGACCCTATTATGATTTAAGGTATATTCCTTAATTAAGGGATATTGGAGTCTCTGGGAAGAAGCCTCCAAGGTCTGGGAGTTCGCAGCCCAGCGCTTCGAGCAGGGAGGCTCCTTCTTCGATATGGATCCTCGGCCTTTTCCAGTGGTTTAGGGTTTAGGGTTTAGGGCCTATGAGTTTACGGTGACCACTTTTAAACATGTATCCTCGGCCTTTTAGAGCTTTGAGTTTACGTAGGGTTTAGGGTTTAGGGTTTATAGAGATTGTTTAGGGTTCAGGTCCTGGGTTTTGACCGGGTTCTCGGCGGGTTTTGCGCGGTTTTGACCGGGTTTCGCCATGTGCTTTGGGGCGAAGTGCTTTTGGGCCCGGCCCGGAAACACACTCCAGGTCTAAACCCTAACCGCTGGACCCTAAACCCGAAAAATGGCATGAGCTCACCAAAGAACTCCCCTAAACCCTAAACCCTAAATCCTAAAATGGCTTAAGGCCCCTATGATTCAGGGGCCCTTATCCGTAAACCCTAAACCAAAAAACAAAACCTAAACCCTAAATGCCTAAACCCCGAAACCCTAAACCCTATAAGCCCTAACATGGGTAACGTCCCCTATGAAGACACGGAGATGTTGTGGAGAACTGAGGATGAGCTGGAGGACAACTTCGCCGAGGCCTGGGTCGAAGGGCCTGGAGGGTTCAGGGCTTTAGGGTTTAGGGTCTAGGGTTTAGGGTTTAGGGGTTTAGGGGTTTGGGTTTAGTTAAGGGTCGAGGGTTGGGGGTTTAGGGGTTTAGGGGTTCAGGGGTTCAGGGTTTAGGGTTTAGGGTCTTGATAAGGGGTCTAGATGGATGTTTAGGCTCTGGGGTTGAGGGTTTAGGGTCTTGATAAGGGGTTTAAATGGATATTTAGGCTCTGGGGTTTGGGGTTTAGGGTTTAAGAGGGTTCTAGACTTGTGAGTGGTCTAGATGGGTAGTTAGGCTCCAGGGTTTAGGCTTCAAGAGTGTTCCAGATAAGTGTTTAGGATGCAGGTTTTTCGGCTGTAGGGTTCAAGATTTATAGACGGGTGTTCCAAAAGTGTGCGAAAACGATTGGGGGTTTGGGGGACCCTAAATACTGTAAGACCCTATTGCGTTAAGTCGACACCGTATCTATGAGGCAGGCGGGTGTGGCGGTGCATCGCCGCAGCGCCCGCGGGCACAGCCACTAGGCGAAGAACTATCTTTGCGGAGTTTTGGGTTTAGGGTGTTATTGTGGGGTTTTGATTTAGGGTTGGATTTTGTTTCCAAGGTGTGATTGAGTTCTTTGGTTCTTGAGGAGACATCAGTCGTGGTAATGATTCAGAAGCTGCAAATGCTAGTACCACAGCAATGTCATATATATATATCTATATATATATATAGATACATATTTATATTTATAACTACATAACTTCTATGCCCGGTCATTGCTTTCAGTGCAACCATTGCCAGTCCTTGTTCCTGTCAGTCTACCAATTATGACACGTGCGAAGCCAAGTTCTTGTTGTTGCTGGCTAAGAACCTCTACCATTGTGCCGATTGGGTTGGGTAGAAAGTTGAGATCTGCACAAAGGCTCGCTCGCATGCAGGTTCTTCTGCGTTGAGTCCCAGCAGAGAAAGGGAAAGAGTGAGAGAGACAGAGTAAGAGAGAGAGAGAGAGAGAACAAGACACAGTGAGTGTGTGTGTGTGTGTGTGCATGAAAGACGTATAGACAGATCTGTACAGTCTGTCTAAACCAACATTTTACTTCTGCATGGAGCGCTTCTTTGGAAGATGTAGAAGCAGCAGCAGTTGGCCCAAATACGAACAGGCCTATCAAGACCCGCACAAATCTTATTAGGGCCGTCATGTTCTAGCCTGTTGCATAGCTTAAGCTTCACAGCTTCACGAAACATGTAGGAAGCGATTCAAGCAGGAAGCCTGCAGAGGAGAACCCTGAACGCGCACCTGGTACCCGACTGCCCCACAGTGAGGTGTAGCATAATGGGATTTTATTCTGAATAACTTTGCCCCTATTATCCCTCAGTCGAGGAAGCGCCGTCGTGTGCTCGACGAGAAGCGCCGCAGACAACTGTGGTTCATGCTGGCTTCACGCCTGCAAGCTATCCAGTACTATCCAGTTCATTCTTTAGTGTTGATGGTCTTAGTACTGTAGCTGATTACGCAACCTGAAACCTTTTGAGGTTTATATAACCCTGCCATACTTAATTCAAAGACTAACCGTTCTTTGGGCTAGGGTACTCAGCCGCTAGGTGGTCTAACCCCTACACTCTGAATCCTCTTGGGTTCATTGACCCACCCAGACCTGCAAGATAAACCCTCCAGGGTTCAGGGTTTAGAGTTTTGGGTTTAGGGTTGAGCGGTTTAGGGGTTTAGGATCTAGGGGTTTAGGGTTCAAGAAGTCCCTGTGTTCGTGATTTTTGCCAGAGAGCCCCACCTGGGCACATGTTCACTGCTTTGAGGCCCTCATGCCGGAGAGAGCACAGCTCTTGGAAGCTGTGGCGGCAATGGACGATGAGCAGCTGAAGCCCGAGAAGGCAGGTTTTGGCTCGGGCTGCGGTTTAGGAGTCTAGGGTTGAAGGGTTTGGGGTTGAAGGGTTTAGGGTGAAAGCGTGTAGGGTTGACGGGTTTAGGCTTGAAGGGTTTAGGGTTGGAGGGTTTAGGGTTTGGGGTTGAAGGTTGCGAACTTTGGGCTAAGGGGCTATAATCTACAGTGGGCGGGTATCATGCTCGTTACCCCGCTTCGCTAGGCTTGACTGTTGGGGAATGCGGGGTTTGCTCTAAATAAGTTCCTGCTCGAGGTGCTTCGCTCACTGGGGGTTTGCGACTTCTCTTCAACCCTGAACCCTATGGGATTTAGACTTTGGGGTTAAGGGTTTTGGGCTTCGCTTTCTCTTAGTTGAGGGGCAAGGATGCCAAGAAAGACCCCTTAAACCGCCAAAACTTACCCTATACCAACCTTAAACCCTAAACCCTAGAAGCCCTAAATCCTTCAAGCCCTATAAAACCCTACAA